TTTGAATGCGAACTTTCCCTCCTTTCAATGCTCTTTTGTTTCAAGGTCTTCACCTTCGTCAGCTCCTCCTCCTCCCCCTCCACTATTGTCACTACCAACATCGAAGCTCTCCTTGAAGATGAACATACTTCATATTGTGTCGATAGTATCTTTTTTTGATTCCTCAATCCTCTCTATTTACCTCTATCATGACACCATTATCCTCACTCTCCTCCACACACACACACACAAACCATTTGAATTATACTGCAAGTTCAAAGTTAAAGCTATGATTTTTCTTTAAAACTTGAGTAAAAAAATTTCAATTAAGATTTAATTCATCTTTCTCATTTATTTGAAATTTTTTTACTCTCAAATTGGTTAATTCATAATTTACTGCATCAAAATATTTAATTATCATTTTTTTTCTATTTTTCTTTCAATCTCTAGTACAATGTAAGAGAAATTACTAAATAAAATTCCAACATGTTTGAAGAATTAGCTTAGGGTGTACAAAGCTTCCCTTATTTTCAAAACCCATAAAATAATCCAGCTTTAAAAACTTTAATGGCTTCTATTGTAGTGTGAATCAATCTAATATTGAGAACTCATTTTGAATCTTCTCATTTCAGACAATGATATAATAAATTACATAACGTTGATTATCATGAATTATTTGCGTATTCATTTACAGGGTGTGTGCGTTACCAATTAATTAAAAATATTTCGAATAAATACTATCTTATAATCATCCCATATTATTAAAAAAAACATTCATATATGTATATAAAATAAATTATTTGTGTATCAGTTAAAAGGTTGAGATGTTAAATGTTAACTTAAATTTAATTACCTTTTCTTTTAAACATGTATGGGTTAATAAACATCTTTAAGCATATAAAATTCTAATCGATATTTAATGTTAAACTTTTTTTTGCTCAAACAGAAATTAATATTATTCAGAAATAATAATTTATTTTGAGAATTCAATCGAAACTATAATTTTGGAACATATAATGTAATTAGCCATATATCGATCGTTGACCAAAAATATCAGACATCAGCAGATGTTCATGTATTACGGTTGGGCCCAAATTCGATCATAAGAGCCCATTAGGAAACCGTCCTATGATCCAATCTCGCTGCTCCGACCCTCCAATCTTAATCCATCAAAATCTGCTTAAGAAAGAAGCAAAAGAAAAAAAAAAGCTATAATTTAAAAATGAATTATATATATATATTTTGTTTATCATTATTCTTTTTGTAATGATAAGTAGATACTTTATTTAATTAAATAAATAAATGTAAAAGTGTGATATTCGTTTTACAAAATCTGTTTATTGTCGCAAAGTATTGCTGAATAAATAATATAGAAATCGGATTGTTTAGATAATTTGTGGTTTATAAGCTAAAAAATATGATCACTCGAAATTAATATTAAAAAAAGCGAAGAATCGATATGAACTATAATGAACAGTTCAAATTTTTTGAAAAAATGGGACAAATTTTCACACCATGTGTAAGTAAAGTCCTTAAAAAACAAGTGAAAACTTTAATTCAGATTTTTAAGGTAAATTTAAAAATATCACGAAATTATTTTCAAATATTTCATAGTGCTGAATTTTTAAAAGTTATAAAATAAATAATAAATTTTAAGATTTATTACAAAAATAAATCTCTCTTTTGCCACCCCTTAGCATACCTTTTTGTGTCGAGTGAAATTAAAGCTAACAATATTTAGACGACAATCCCGCCTCCAATCTCTCCTATAACGCGTGCATGTATGTCCTTTCTTTGTATAAAAAAAAGCTCATCTCTTTCAACACCATTCATCACTCAACACTACTGTGCTTTTTAAGGGTAAACTGTTAAAACCATCACTTTCGTTTCATTTTTATTCAGTTTTAGTCATTAATTTTAAAAAATAACACTCTGGTCATTTATGTTATTGATTTGTAGCATTTAATTACTAGAGCATTAAATTTTAGATTAAAAATATATTAATTTGACTTTTAAATTTTGGATAAAACATCAATTTAATACATACGAATATGAACAGAGTTTTTCACCATCGCTCACCCTTTTGGCAGCCCATGCAAATACAATAAGTAGTTGACGATATATAGCTGGCAATGCGATAAAGTTAAATGTGGATGCATGATGGTTTATTAAAAAGAAGAAATATAAAAAATTACAAATGAAAGTTTATAATTAAACTAAATAGATAATTTAGATATTTTTTTCTATAACAATTAATATAAAAGCTAGCAACTTAATATCACAAATATCATGTAAGGAGAAGGTTTAAAACCTAATAAAAAATTCATATAAAAGATAGATACGAATATATCCGACATAATCGATAGACGTATCACAAAAATGGATCAAGCAATTGAAAGACACCGACAAATCATAAATCAGAGTTGATAGACTTCAGAAAACTATCCACGAACACAAATCGCGTATTCAAATCCAATCTAAGGTTCGAATCATGGAAGATCAATATGATAACAAATAAACATTATTTTGATTAGCCGTGACGATATCAAATTCAATCATAAAAAATATAAAAAATAATAACGACCAAACGATAAAAAACACAGACAACATTTTTAAAATACTTAAAAAAAGATGCGATGCAACAAAAATAAAGAAAAAGTAAGAAATATGACGAAAAGGTTGGTGCTATCGTCTATCAATCAAGAATAAAGAAAGAGATAGGCGGCTTTAGAATTTTTTTTGTATATTTAAATTTTTATTTTTTGGTGTCCTTATTTTTAAAAAAATGTTAATGATAAATTTATTATTTCAATTTGATTTTAAAGAAAACCAAATGATGTTAGGTTAGATTTAGATTTAGATTTACTATTATCAAATACATCCCTTGTCGTTAAACTAGGGGGTGCCTTGATCTTGTTGAATTTGATCTAATAAAATTTTTTGAGTTATTTGAGTTGATTAGATATATTATAATAAATAAATTTAAATTATAAAAAATTTAAAGTTGGATCAAGTAAAATAAATTTGAATTGAGTTAATTTTTTAATTAAATAATTATTAAAAGTATACATAAATTTTAGTTAAATCATTAAATGTGTAGTATGATACATGAATTTTAATTTTGTGAATATATATATAAAGTTTTAATTTAATTCATATTTTGCGGGATTATTTAATCCTTCTTCCAATGAGAAAAACCTTGAATGGCTAAAGAGCATTGATGTCCAGAGACATAGCGACCAAATCCCAATACGGAAGTGAGCAGGAAACTGAAGGAATCCCGATCATTATAGTTTTATCATTAAACACTTTGGTTTTATGGTTGCATAAACAACATTTGCAGAAATGAACTGACAATTCCTGGTGCATAAAAAGAACTTATTTCTATGCTTTATATCTGTAGTTGCTTTATAAAGGATTAAAGGGCAGCCAAGTAAACAAGACTTGGGTGCAACCATTTTCCGTACGTAAGCTACCTGCCTATTTGGATGTAAAGAACGGGAAACTCTCCGACCAACGTTGCTTTCTTATGACTTAAAGTTGCTTGCTTTTTAAAGCTAAGGGACCACCAAACAATTCTAATTAACCCCCTCCTACCCTTTTTAACAATAATAAACGTCCACAAAAATTATACTAACCCAACTTTATTCATGATCATATTTCTGAACATAATTGAAAATTTATTGAATGTGCTTTCTAATAAAAGTAAATGTTAAATTTGAATTCCAGCAATTGAACTTACAAGATATGTGTTGTTAATAGGTTACAAATTTTTTACCAGAACAAATTTGACATCCAAACCTAGCTTGTGGTTCATAGCATGCAAGTGGGGGTATGAAGATTTGGGTGCTTTTTGGGTTTTGAATTGAAAACCTAGAAGATTGCCAATGATTCTCCATAGATGGCATTTTATATATTTGATCTTTGTATGGAGTTTGTCTCAGAGGCAGCCAATTATGGCGTATTTTCCAAACGTCAAACATGAGATTAACCAAAGTGGAAAAAGAAAGAAAGAAATGGTATGGTATACATATACTTTAATTATTAACGCTATTACTTTTAAACACTTTTTCAGTCATGCCATTACCCCCTTATATGATGAGCAAAAGTTCATTCCTCGGGAATCATCCCATATATATTCATATTCAAATTCCGGATAACTATATGTAATGTGAAGCTATTGGTCATACAAAAATATAGATTTTGATTTAGATAAAGACTTAAAATAAAATTTCAGCTTTTAATAGTTATTCTTATAATAATCTGATATTTTATGAGGATTAAATAAAATTTAATATTTTAATATGTTCAAATAATAATTTATTTTTTAAAAGTAATCAAATAAAGGTTTAATATTTTAATATATATATATATATATTTTAAAATTGATTATTTGATTGTTTATGAAAGATTGAATCTTTATGTGAGTAGTTTATAAAAGAATAAGTGTACATATTAATAATTTTAAAAAAAGTAAAATTATTTTTTGAAAAATTAAATATATGAAGAGATTTCTTTTAAAGAAAATGAATGATTGAAATTGTAAAGGGAGAATAGAACAGCAATGATGACGCACCCATCCTCATGTTCCCAATTCTCATCTTCTATTTATCACCTTTAATCATATTTCCCCTCTATTCAAAAGTGACATATTATCTTATTCTCTATGAAAAAAAAATTAATTGATGTTATTCCCATATGTAATAGGGTAAGAGGGAGGTAGAATAATAGACTGTTCTCAACCTGACATTGAGAGTAATTTCCATAGGAGACCTCCAATTATAAATTATCCATCGCACAAGATTAAATTCTTTACACTCTACCAACTGAGCTGGACATACAATTCTCTATGAAAATATGTCTTATTCTCTATGAAAACGATTAGTATCTTTAAAATAATCCATGAACATTCATTGAAAAAATAAGGTTTTTTTTTTTTTGAATTAAGAAGAACCTAAGACGTTAGGCTAATGCAGTGCAGGTGCATCTTTAAAACAAAAGACCGTCTGGTTTCATTCCTTTGCTGTTCCCGGTAAACAATGAATTTCCCTTACCAACTTCTCTTATACTTTCTTTTCCTTCCACTTTCCTTCTCCCTTCCTTCCTACCCAAACGATACCAATGCCCTCACTCTCTTTCGCCTCCAAGCCGACACTCATGGCATCCTCCACCCCAACTGGACAGGCCACGACGCTTGTTCCTCCGCCTGGCACGGCGTTAACTGCTCCTCAACCGGCCGTGTCATCGAACTCTCCCTCCCTTCCCTCTCCCTCCGCGGCCCCATAACAGCCATTTCCCTCCTCGATCAGCTCCGAATCCTCGACCTCCACGAAAATCGACTCAACGGCAGCGTTTCACCGTTAACCAACTGTACTAACCTCGAACTCGTTTATCTTACAGGCAACGATTTCTCCGGCGATATTCCACCTGAAATCTCGCACCTCAGGCGCCTTCTTCGCCTCGACTTGTCCAATAACAACATACAAGGTCATATTCCTAAACAAATCTCCGGTTTGAAGCGGCTCATTACTCTCCGGCTTCAAAACAATGCATTGACCGGCCAAATCCCAGATTTTTCTTCTTCTCTTAGAAACTTAACCGAGCTTAATTTAACCAACAATGAGCTTTACGGACGGTTACCGAGAAATTTACTGGCGAAATTCAGCAAAGAAAGCTTTAAAGGAAATGAAGGGCTCTGTGGACCAACTCCATTCCCGGTTTGTTCCTTCACAGGGTCTCAACCGGTGGATTCACCAACCCAGACCGTTCCGTCGAATCCGAGTTCGATCCCTCAGTCACCGATCATCGGACCCGACAGCAAAGCCAAGGCACGTAAAGGCTTAACTCCTGGTGCTATAGTTTCAATTGTAGTTGCAGCCAGCGTGGCGTTTTTAGTGGTGGTTTCTTTTATCGTGGCTTATTATTGCGGAAGAAACAGGGGAGACGACAGTGTTTCGGCCTCCGGCGGCCGTGGAAGTAGCTACGGAAGTGAAAAGAAAGTTCACGCAAATGGCGCCGCCGCCACCGACAGTGACGGAACCAACGCTACGGATAACAGTAAGCTGGTGTTTTTCGAGAGAAGGAAACAGTTCGAATTGGAGGATTTGTTGAAAGCTTCGGCCGAAATGATGGGGAAAGGGAGTTTGGGAACTGTTTACAGAGCGGTGCTCGACGATGGGTCCGTCGTCGCTGTTAAGAGGCTTAAAGATGCGAATCCTTGTCCGAGGAAGGAATTCGAACAATACATGGACATTATTGGGAAAGTTAAGCATCCCAACGTTGTGAAATTGAAGGCTTACTATTATGCTAAAGAAGAGAAGCTTCTTGTTTTTGATTACCTCCCTAATGGAAGCTTGCATTCACTTCTTCATGGTATGTATAGTGTTCCTGTTCAGTTTGATCGAACTGTTACTGCGCCTAAATTATCCGATTAAACCGACTTTAATTTGATACAGGAAACAGGGGACCGGGGAGGATTCCGTTGGATTGGACTACAAGGATCAGCTTGGTCTTAGGGGCAGCTCGAGGGTTATCAAAGATTCATGAAGATTACGGTGAAGCAAAAATCCCCCATGGAAATGTGAAATCTTCGAACGTTCTTCTTGACAAAAATGGGGTTGCTTTGATTTCTGATTTCGGGTTGTCTTTGCTTCTAAGCCCCGTTCATGCCATAGCAAGATTGGGTGGATATAAGGCTCCCGAGCAATCCGAAGTTAAAAGACTGTCTCAGAAGGCCGATGTTTATAGTTTCGGAGTGTTGTTGTTGGAAGTACTCACGGGGAGAGCTCCGTCGCAGTACCCTTCCCCTACTCGTCCTCGAGTCTACATAGAAGAACAAACTGTCGATCTTCCGAAATGGGTCCGATCCGTTGTTAAGGAAGAGTGGACGGCCGAAGTCTTCGATCAAGAACTTTTGAGGTACAAAAACATCGAGGAGGAACTCGTGGCAATGCTTCATGTGGGCTTGGCTTGTGTGGTTCCTCAGTCCGAAAAGAGACCGACAATGGCGGAAGTGGCTAAAATGATAGAGGATATAAGGGTGGAACAGTCTCCTATAGGGGAAGATTACGATGAATCTCGCGATTCGATTTCACCTTCGGTTGCTACCACCGAAGATGGACTATAGCTGGTTATTGATGATTTCCATTGCCAATGCTGCTAATGTATTATCCTTCCTGGTTCTTAGTTAGATCCATTTATTTGCGTTTGTGTCTTTTGTAATGTTTAAAATCCTTCGAAAACGAAACCGAGAATGATCATTAAAAGGGAAATCGGAAATTCTGCTGCATAAAGTGTTATTATACATAAATCACAAATAAAGGGAGAGTTAGCCAGAAGCTAACACTCACATTCGACAACACATTTGTAGTGAAATCTTTATTCTTACAGGAGACGTTGAATGTACTGGGGTTGGTCAACAAGGTGATGACCCACGACATCTCCGTTTAGATTTAGTCAATGATCATTGACTGCTGCAAAAATCTAAAAATCCCATGAATTCATGGTTCTGAATCATTCGGATGCTTTTCTCTATGCCTATGACTCCTGTTTAAACACATTACAAAGGAAGTGAATTTCAGTTAATGATTTCGATTAATTTGAGTTGTGACGATAAGTTTACGTACCCATTGTGAGAGCACTTGCGAAGATGACACCCGATAGAATGAATACAATGAGAGAAGCTCTTTTCAGGATTGCTATTAGTTTTCTTACGAAATACTGTCCCCAGAAACCAGCCAAGATAGATACTCCCATCAAGTACAGCGCTGGAAAAAAAGGTGACAATTTTGATCAATGGACAAAAATCAGAACTTGCTTTAAGGATATGACTATGGCTTACCGTAGGGGATTGGGAACCTATTAAGCAAATAGAATTCAACAACTGATAAGGATGAAGAGAACGTCATTACAAATGTTGCTGTTGCACTAGCCACCTGTTAATTGAAAACCACAACAGGTTTTAGTTTCATAGTTGTATTGCACTTAAAAAATCTGGGCTTTAAATTTACCTGTGGAATCACACCAATTTCAAGGAGAAGAGGACCCAAAATGAATCCACCACCAGAACCGAGCAATCCACCAACGGTGCCTCCCAAGATGCCACAGAGTGCACAAAATACAATGTTCAATGGATTCCATTGAATCGAAGCTTCACAGATTGTTTCAGTGTTTCCAGTGCTCATTCTCTTCTTATGATCTTTGTATAATTTGATTGCTTCATATCCAAAAACCATCACTGAAACTGGGAACTGAAATATAAACATAAACTCGTTTCAATCATTCAATCAAAGAAAGCATAATTTTTGCAATGTTCTCATCGAATTAAGGTTTACCTGTAAGCAAAATAGTACCCAATACAAAGTACTACAAGGAACCTCGTCATTCTGCCAAAAAAAAAAAACATAAATAAAGAACATTATAATCAACCAAATTTGAGATGAACTGAGATAGATTGCAAGCTTGCCTTGATGATTTGGATAACAGTGAAAAGGACCCAAACTGTAACTAGCAACAAAAGCCTTTTCCACCTTAGATTGAAACATAGTATTTGCTGCAATATTTAGAACACGTTATGAACTCGGTGTTCAGACTCGTGTGAGTAAAGAAAAATGAAAGGTTGGAGCAAAAAGGGTTGATTCACTAACCAGTTCGGATTTCTCTTCTCTCGGAATCAATGGCTCATACTCTGTATCTATCAGTACTGAAATTCAAGAATTTAAGATGAAAAATGAAGTCAATATCTTTTCAAATGTTCTAAAATATGATATGGAAATCATCTAAAATGAAACTTACATTCACCCCTGGAATTTACTGTTCCTTGTGGCTTGGTGAGTTCATTCTGCATTTTTTTACCAATTAGAGCAAGAAAAGGGTGTTAATATTATCAACTATTGAAAGGAAAAAAAAAACCTTTAAAAGTGTCTCTTCCTTCCACATTTCAATTGCCCTATAGAAAGATCTTGAAGAGGTACCTAAAAAACAAGAAACGTAACGTTTCAATGGGGAAAAAAAAACAAAAAGCAGCACAAACATCAAACAAATAAAATATAGCAAAAAGCCATAAGATTGTTTAAGAAACCTATGAAAAGTATGATGATGAGCACAGTGATGAGCCAATAAGGAAAAACGACGCTCAAGGCAACACCAACGGTGATGCCAAGCATCAACGTAGGTTGGAAAAGAAGAGCCAGATCATAGTCGATGATCGGCACTTCTTTCGTCGGATGTGGCACTCTAAGATTGTACCAAACTGACGATGCCGATGCCCCCATGATCATGCCTGCAGCCAAAAAGAGATTTCTTTATTATTGTTTATCCGCAGTTGATTGAATCACTTAAGTCAATTTTGTTAACTTTTTGTCCTCCTTGGCTATAATGAAATAATGAACTGAGATGATCCATTAAACAATGAGAAAAATCTAGAAAACCCTTTTTCTGACCTGCTTAAAGGTCACTGTTCCATTGGAGATAATGCAAAATAAGAAAGCAGGTGAAGAAAAGTTTACATTTTGAAATAGCGGCGGCAGATTTGGTATCAAATCCAACAATCAAAGTAAGCATGGGAACGAAAATACCGCCGCCTCCGACGCCGCCAACCGTTCCACAAGCCGAACCTAGAAATCCTATCACCGTCGCCATTACAAGCCTCCAATTCAGCTCCAATTCCTGCCAAAATCAAACAACCATTTAAAAGCCGAGTATATGAAACAATGATTCTGCCACTAAAAAAGGGAAAAACTCACAGGCCAAACTTGGTCAGTGTGGGATAAAACTGGGGACCGTAAGAGATTTGAGCTACGGTTCATCATGTCATAGTCGTTATTGTTGATGAACAAAACAGAGAGAATGCCAATTGAAAAACAAGAGAGCAGATATAGAACGAATCCTTTGGTCGTCGCCGCCATGGCAGATTAATATTTGGTTTTCAGAAGAAGAAAAAACCAGCGCCGCCACAGCAAGAATCAAGGGGTGAAGAAGGGAACAATTGTTCTTGGAATATATGGTAATGTTTTCTGTTTGTGTTTTCAGACAGAACAAGAACAAACAGCGGAGATTACAAAATAAAAACGAAATGTTTAAGATTGAATGAATAACTGATGGAGTGAGATAAAGAATCCAAAAAACGTGTTATAGAATCAGCGAGAGAGATGTGACCTACAGACATTCATTCAGTTCACATGCATTTGCCAGTCAAGAACTTGTCGGTATTTACTCAATCACAATGCAGCTCCACGTGGCTCAATCAGCGTGGGTGAACTCGTTCGATCAAATCATAAAATTACTTCTCCCTTGAAACGGATGTGTCTAAAATACAAGTGGTTAATAAAGTTAAAAAGAAAGATAAAAATAAGTTATAATGGAAAAAAATTGCCTAAGAGTCTAAAATTTTTAGAGTAAATTAGATAATATTTTTAAGTTGAAATATAAAATATTATATTTTTTAATAATAATTTATGAAAATTATATATTTATTTCGGTTATAATATAAAATATTATCGTCAAGATATTCTTAATTATAAATGAAACTATTATATAATCTTTAAAAATATAAATATTATCTTATGTTAAAATTCGTCACAATATAACAATTAAAATTAGACCATCTCATAATAAATAACTCATTTTCAAACATAATTGAATTGAGCCACGATTATAAAGACAAAATACTAAGAGATTTTGTGGAAAACTTTAAAGAAAGTATAAACAGTAAAAAGTGTTAAAATTTCCACGACTTGTGTTTGTAGTGTTTCTTGTCAAGTTGGAATCCAGCTCAATCCGGGATAGAAATAAAACGTGGAAAATACAGGAAAGATACCTGGTAACTTCTTGGAATATGAAGAACCTTAATTATATTCAATTTTATAATTTCAAAAATAATTTAAATTGCTAATTTGAATAACTAATTCATAATAAAATAGTAAAGGACCTTAATTAATAAATTTTAAAAAAAAATTGAAAAGTTTAAGTCAAAACTCACTCTTGATTTAAGTGATCTTATAATAATAAAATTGTTGTTATTAATCAGTGACACATATATGTTACCATTAGAGTAGACAAGTGTTCCCTTAAATTTCTCTAAAGTACAGATGTTCTTCTTAAAACCCAAAGTATTATTTTATTATTATTATATTATTATATATTATATATATATTAGATATATATATATAATATATATATATATATATATATATATTATATAGATCCTGAAATTTATCATGTCCATCTAAATATACAATTCTTATATTATTAACATATATATTTATTCTCAATTTTTTTATAGATCCTTCTATTATTAATCAATCATTATCACTAATATTATAGTATTTCTGATTAAAAACTTCAATGGCCCACGTCTTGGCAGGTTCATGGCAAATCAATGTATGGGTGGATCTTTATTTTGTGTGTGTTTTTATGCCTATAATTTAATCTCAGCAACGCAGATTAAGACAGACGCATCAGTCAAGGCCGACAAATTAACTCAAATTGAATACGTTTTGAAATGAAAAAGAAATGCAGCCATATCATTATAAAACTCTCTACTCCTTCAATTTTTATCTTTTTTTTGGGGGGGGGGGGGTTTAGAAATTGCGATTTCATTGCTGACGGATATATCTTAATGGAGGTTGGTAAGGTATACTGATTTCTAAAAATATTTTTCATTAAACATAATAATATACGAAAATATTTATTTTATATAATATTTAACGTGTTATTAATAGATAAGAAAATTCTTAATATATATTATTTTTTAATTATCTTATTTTATTAGATTTATTTTAGTTAATATATATATATATATATATATTATTTAGAGTGATTTTAAATTAGATATGAATGTGACTGTGCTTCTACCCTTCTTAACAAAATACCAGTGAAATTTGAATTTGAATTTAAAAAAAATTAATTTTCTAAAATTTAATTCAATATGACATTTTAAGAAATATTAATCAGCGAGTTCATTTGGTAGAGAATAAATGTGAATAAATTAGTATTACTTTTTTATGTGCTAAGTACAAACGAATTAAATTGGATGAAAGATGCAACCTTTTGCAACCCTAATAAATGCCTATTAAATCCTTTTTCTTTTCATTTTTTGATACACCCGTTTATTAAGTGTCACGAATTAATCCGTTTTCTACAAATTATTATCTATATTTTTATAGGGAAAACTACAGAATTGGTCATTTTCATTTGAGTTTTA